CCGAAATTTTTGTCCACAAAATCATCAAAATCCAACTACCTCCTCTCCTTCCTTCCTGCAGGGCTCAACTCTTATACTTTGCTTCAACCGCTTAAATAATGTATCCTAGGAAAACAAATGATTCTCAAGAATAATTAGATTATAAAAAAAACCTCCATTGGCTTCCTTCCCAGTTCTTCACCAACTGATTTTTGCTTGTCAGATGGCATTAGCGCATATTGTTCACAAAGATCGCCATCAATCACCGACTGGAATTTGAAAAAAAAAAATCGCGTAATTCGAAAATGTTGCTGTTGAGTTTTTCGGAAAAATTTTAAAAAAAATGGAAAAAACTGCGCACGTGGCTAAGAAAAATATTAAGCTAATGGTGAATTAATAGCAATTTCAAATAAATGTAAAGCAAAACTCTGCATTTTAAGAAAAAAAAAATACTCAGTACGTGAATTAAAGCATTTTTTTTTTTCATTTATCAAAAGATTGAGAATGCAATTCCATACATCTCTACTGCAGCCGAGGCCAATTCATATTTACAGACGTAACGGAACTTTAGGATTTGATCTTTTGCACGAAGTTATCAAGTTTTAAAAATATCGCACAAAAAAAAAGTATTACAAGAGCATAATAAGAAAACATACCTTGACAGGGAAGTAATATGAACGATATGCAAGATGATCACGGCCACAAAGCGGTGGATATTCCACTCTCATATGCATTTCCAAATTTTGGAAAAGTTCAAATTCCTTCAAAATTCAGTTGTTCAAAAAGCTTTTATAAACTTCAAAAAAAAATTTGTATAAAAACTAGCACGTTCAAGAGCCTAAACTGTAAAGGGAAGAAGGTTTTTCGGTAAAATTTTTAGGTTCAATATAAATTTGCTCATCCAATTTGATGCTAAATCGGTACTGATATATACCAGGGAGTCAAAGCCGCCTTCAACCTACTTCTACGTAGTCCTCGAAAGTAAGGACCATCGAAAATTCTGCCAACTGTTAACAAATACATTGACAACCTCGCTAACAGTTGGCACATGCTACCACTCAGACTACTCCCGCCACTCGTTGAGAAAAAACACAAAGGAATTTTTGACTTTTTCATCATAAATCTTCAGTTATGCGCTTAATCTGAGGTTATTCATACAAAATTCATATAAAATTGAAAATGATAAATCGAACAAAAAAAAAAAAACAATGGAATATATAAGAAACAATAAAACTATAAGATACTGCGGCTGAATAGGAAAATTTATTGTTAATTGAAAAAATTGTAAAAAAATTTGAAAAAAAATTGTAAAAAATTAAAGACGAAAATTAAAACGAAACTGTCTATAGCATGTTTTCATTTATGCTCGGTAAGGAAATAACCGAAAAAAGTAAGTACTAAATTATAATAATAACAATAGCAATAATAATAATAATAATCATAGCAACAATAGTAATAATAACAATGATGATGATAATAATAATAATAGTAATAATAATAACAATAATAATAACAGTAATAATAATAACAATAATAATAATACTTATTTTTACTTTTTATTACTTTTCCCTGCACATATATATACCAGAAAAATTTTGTTAATAAAAAAAGCAGTTACTTGACAGCTGCTAAACTATTTATCCACAAATCACTTCGAAGAAAACTTTAAGAGCTTGGCTGCCATCTGCCTTATTGCGAGCTTATCTTCATCATCGTGAGTCGGTAAATCTGCTTTTTAGAGGATTGCTCGAAGGGAAAGTTAAAAGTAACTTAAGTGCCTAGCTAATTGAATATGCCAACATCAATTAATCAAAAGAATCAACAAATCCTTGAAAAGCACCAATTCCCAAGAGTGCTCCGCTTGAAAATATATCAAACACTGTGGTACCGGATAAAAAAAACAAAAAGACTTTCGATCAGAAAAAGAAAAAATAAATGGCCAGCGCACCGGCTGCCGGTGCGAAGATGCGTTTTTTGCATAGTTCCTCACAGCTTTGTCGCTACCGGCACCAGTTTTTCCGGCAAATGCTTCTAGCTAAGAGAACTGAGACTAGCCACCAACAGGGCTGATTTAAAAGCATCCCTTTAAAGTTTCACCTTTCTAGCTTTTCTAGTTTCCGAGTCAGCAAATTACCCGAAAAAACTTTCACGGGTCTGTACGTGGGGACCACGCACACCCGACGAATCCGTTTGAACTCATCAATACCTACTTGGGCGGGGAACATCCCCTTGAAATTCCAGTCTTCTGGCTTTTCAGGTTCCCGAGTTAGCAGCTTATCCAGCAAAAAACTTTCACGGGCCTGCACGTGGGTACCACGCGGGTAAGGACGCCCATTTTTCGTACACATGTAGATTAAGTCCTCAGAGTTACAGATCCCTGTAGCTTTTGTAGGTCTCGAGATGAAAAATCGGTAACGACGCACAGCGTATACATACATACATACATACATACATACATACACACATACATACATACATACATACATACATACAT